GAAAAGTAGGACACTGGATACTCAATTTCCTGTCGAACAGAACACAAAGAGTAACAGTCAATCAGATAAAATAGAGTCCAAGCGATGTTAAAAGCTCTGTACCTCAAGGTACAGTCCTTGCACCGCTACTGTTCCTTATTCTCATATCTGATATTGACTAAAATACACGTCACAGCTTCGTGTCGTCCATTACAGATGACACAAAAATCAGCATGAAAATTACTTCTGCTGAAGACATTGAAAAACTACAAGCAGATGTCAACAAAGTTTTCGATTGGGCAACAGAAAATAACATGATGTTTAACAGTGATAAATTTCAGGTACTCAGGTACGGCAAAAATGAGGATCTGAAACATAATACAGGGTACAAAACACAATTGAATCTTCCCATAGTAGAAAAACATCATGTCAAGGATTTGGGAATAATGATGTCCGACGATCTAACATTTAGGGAGCATAACCAAGCAAATATCGCGTCAGCCAGAAAAATGATCGGATGGATTACGAGAACTTTCAAATCCAGGGATCCCATCACAATGGTTGTACTCTTCAAGTCACTTGTGTTGTCCCGTCTCGAGTACTGCTCAGTACTCACTTCCCCCTTTAGAGCAGGAGAGATTGCTGAAATAGAGGGAATACAGAGAACATATACGGCACGCATAGACGAGATAAAACACCTAAATTATTGGGATCGTCTCAAAGCTCTCCAAATGTATTCTCTAGAAAGGAGACGAGAGAGATACCAAATAATATACACATGGAAAATACTGGAGGGTCAGGTCCCAAATCTACACAATAAAATAACAACGTACTGGAGTGAACGATATGGAAGAAAATGCAAGATTGAACCAGTGAAGAGCAGAGGTGCCATAGGCACAATCAGAGAGCACTGTATAAACATCAGAGGTCCACGGTTGTTCAACGTCCTCTCAGCGACTATAAGAAATGTTGCCGGAACAACCGTGGACATCTTCAAGAGAAAACTGGACGGTTTTCTAAGAGAAGTTCCGGATCAGCCGGGCTGTGGTGGGTATGTGGCCCGGCGGGCCGCTTCAAGCAACAGCCTGGTGGACCAAACTCTCACAAGTCAAGCCTGGCCTCAGGCCGAGCTTGGGGAGTAGAAGAACTCCCAGAACCCCATCAACCAGGTATCTACCCCATTTCGTATGCTTTCTCGTGTTTTGTTTCACCTCCGGCCTGCTCATGCATCGCCTGAGCCGTCCCGGTTCTTGATCAGGGTGCTTTTTTATCTTCTCAGTTTGTGGTAGTCCCTTCGGTTCAGGTTTCTGCTCTTTGGTACTGGTGGTAGGTTTGTACGTTTGCAGCCTTTCTCTGTCCTGGCGACGGTCGAGACGGCTGCTTTCCGGAAGGGTTCTTGGGTTATTAATGCTTGATTGGTTTGGCCGGGGTGCGTCGTGTGTTGACCAGTTGCGCTTTTTGCCGTTACCTGCGTACCGTGTCTGGGGATGCGCTTTGGGTTGATCCGGTTCCCCTCGTTCCCTGTTTCAGGGCTCGGGTCTCCCAGGTCGTCCGCAGCATTTTTCAGTCTTCCAGCCTGCGGTCTGTCCTTGCACCCGTGCTGTTCGGATGTTTACAGCTTTTGCTGCCGTGTTGGTGACCTCTAGGGCTCATTTCGGGCGCAGGGATTTGAGGGTCGCACAGGTTCTTGGCTGCCCATTCTTTATGTGCGTCTGCTCCTGTGCATTCTTGTTGCCGTGGGTCGCAGGTTGCAGCCTTTTGTCTTGGCTTCGCGTTGCGGAGTTTGTGGCGGCCGCCTCCCGGGTTAGCCCTTTCTTTTTCTTCTCCTTGGATATGAAGATGTAGGGGCTCCCCACAGAAAACCAGCGTTGAATGTAATAAAACGCCATTTTCTGGGTGATCCCAGGATACTCCCTGGCAACCCTCCCTCCCACCAGTCGGCGTTTTTTTTGCGTTGGTTGAAGCTTAGCTTCTGAACTGAACCTAGGCAGCCGACGCGGTAGGTCCGAGGCTCCCCCCTCCCTTTCTCGGGGCGGGGAGGGCTGCGCAGACGATCGGCGCAGCAGTAAAGTGTGATGTTTGCTTGTTTCCTTGGGATTGTAGGGAGATTCTACCTCTCTGTTCGGTTTTTTGTTTGAGTTTTTTACCATGTGGGGTTTGTTTTGTTATGCCTACTTTTCTGGGTGCCTAACCCCGGCGATGGCAGATAAGGGAAACCCCAACCACAAGGGGTTTTCCAGGGCCATTGCTCCCTGAAACCTTTCTGAAGGGGCCAGGTTCTGGCGCTGGTCCCTGATAGGTCTGAACTCCTTAGCTAATGTCCCGGTCTAATATAACATACATTAGCCTGATAAGCTCCAGGGAGCCTCCTTGGCTCACCCAGAAAATGGCGTTTCATTACATTCAACGCTGGTGTTTTCTTATTGGCAATGGCCTCTGGGGGTCAGGTTGGGAAGCTTCATGGTCTTCTCCAGCACAAAGATTTCTGCTCTTTTGGTTCTGGTAGAAGGTTTGTTTGCAGCCGTCTCCTTCTTTTCTGGCGAAGGATGAAACTGCTGCTTACCGGAGGGGTCCTTGGGTTGTTGATGCTTGGCTGGTTCGGCCGGGAGTGCATCATGTGTTGTGTCCAGTTGCAGCTCTTCGACGTTACCTGCACACCACAGCCTGAGTGGCCGGGGACACACTTTGGGTTGACCTGGTTTCCCTTCTTCCCTGTTCCATGGTTCCGGTCTCCCAGGCCGTCTACAGGGTTATTCGGTCCAGCCAGCCTGCGGTCTATCCTCATGCCCATGATGTTCGTCAGTTTGCTGCTTTGGCTGCTGTCTTTGTCAACATGTCTTGGGCTGACATTCGGGCACAAGGTTTTTGGAGGTCAAACAGGGTCCTGGCCGCTTGCTACCTAGTCAGTAATTATGGCCCTGGGAGAAGGGGATGTGTCACTTTGGGTCAATGGTTGCAGCCAGTTGTCTCGACTTCGAGTTGAGGAGCAACTGGCGACCGCCTCCTAGGTAAGTCCCTCTTGTTTTATCTTTGGTTAAGTAGCTCCTGGGCACTGAAGGGGCTCCCCCCCAGAAAACCAGCGTTGAATGTAATGAAACACCATTTTCTGGGTGAGACCGGGAAGCTCCCCTGCAACCCTCCCTCCCTCCCTCCCTTCCTCTGCTTGGCATTTTTCACAGGTTTTTGACATTCAGCCTCAGAACTGAAGGTGTGGATTACCGGTGCGGGTGTCTGAGGCTCCCCCTTCCCTCTCCCAGGGAGGGGGGAATGCTGCACAGACTGCGCTGCAATGACTGTTATGACGTCATGCTCATTTGCTCATTTTTCATTTGGGGAGTTCTGTCTAACAGTTCGGCTTTCAGTAGCAATATTTTAACCAGATGGGGTTTGTTTTGGGGCGCCTACTTTTCTGGGTGCCTAACCCGGTCAATACCAGACATAGAATGCTTCCAACCACACGGGGGTTTCTATAGTCCATTGCTCTTCGTGCCTCTCTGCAGGTGCCAGGTTCTGGCTCGTGGTCCCCAGTAGGCCTAAGAACTCAATTCGCTTGACTGATGCCAGGGTCTGATACATTCATATCAGCCTGGATAGCTCCGGTGAGCCTCCAGGTCTCCCCCAGAAAATGGCATTTTATTACATTCAACATTTTTTTTTTGTCAAAGAACGAGTCGGGTGGCTTCCAGAGGGTTCTTTGGTTATTGACACCTGCTTGGTTCGACTAGGACCCCTGGGGGTCCTGGTTGTTTCATGTGTTTCAAAGTTTCATGTGCCATGTCTGGTGGTGACTCGCTGCTGCTTCCAGCATGCCACCAATTCTGCTTCACATTTGGGGGTATATCCTGTTTCCTTCATTCTCTGTTCCAAGGTTTGCATTTCTCAGGTCATCCGCAGTGTTGTTAAGTCTAGCCAGTCTGTGATCTACCTTGTGCCCATGATGTTCGAAAATGTGCCGCTCTTATAGCTGTTTGCTAATATGTCAGGGGCTGATATTTGAGGATGAGTGTTTTGGCAGTCTAACAGGATTCTTGCAGCAAAGTATTTGGTTGAAATTCCTTGTGTGGCCTTTAGATGTATCTTTCATCTAGAGTTTCTCTCTCCTCTCTGGTAAGTTCCTGTGTGTTATTCCTTCTCTGTGGGTAGTTAGCTTTATGGATCCACAAGGAGCTTTTCCGAGGAAACCTGTGTTGAATGTAATGAAATGCCTCTTTTTGTGTTAGCTACAGTGGCTTCCTGATTCCACCTTCCCTTACAGGTAGTCATGTGGGTTTTGTTTGTGCATCTGCTTCAGAAGTGACAGCTGGGACACCTGGAGATGGTGAGCCCCATCCCCCCTCTCTTCCCAAATAAGCGTGTGAGGTAGGGCAAACAATCTCAAGCTAGTTTTGAGAGGCTATCAGTTATTTACTTAGCTGGGGTTCAGTTGTGAAGCTTCAGTCTTATTTGAATCCAGGAGTTGTTTGTTTTGACTTATTGACATTCAGGAAGCCTTTCCTAGTGAGGTGGTGAAATGTCACTGCTCCCAGTGCTTGTGTGAGGGGGGGGGGGGGCCAGGTTATGGCACAGGTTTGCAGTTCGCCTAACAACTGGTAGATTGGAACCATCTCAGTGTATAGCTTCAGGGAGTCAAAAGCATCCATCAGAAAAAGGCATTTCATTACATTCATCCCCAGATTTACAAGTCTTACTCCTGGCACACCAGCACCTATGATATTACTGGTCCATCATTAGTCTTGCTCGTGACACACCAGCACCTATAATCTTACTCTTCCTTCAGTTGTTTTGCTCATGACACACCAGCACCTATAATCTTACTCTTCCTTCAGTTGTCTTGCTCATGACACACCTGCACCAGTGAAATTTCATGACTTTTCCTGGACTTTCACTAACCTTCCATAATGTGTCACTTTACCACTTTACTTTTTAGAATTATTAATCAATTTAACTAATTCAATTATTTGGTAACTCTTAAGTATGATTTGAAGTAATCTTGTTATTCTAAAGAATCAACAATTTGACAGATGTTGAGTGGAGATGGGTGGACGCATACTTCCCCTTTACTCACCCGTCGTGGGAGTTGGAAGTTAAGCTCAACAATGACTGGGTGGAACTATTGGGTTGTGGTATCATTGAACAGGAGATTCTTTTCAACAGTAAGTTGCCTAGTAATCCATCCAAAATTTATATTTGTCGCACATTATAATAATGTTTTACATGGGACATTCATTTCAATATTCTCTTGTTACTCATACTGAAGCACCTACATTATTTTCTTTCATTAATCTGCTACAGTATCATGCTTTGAGATGCCAGCATTCAGTGGGTATCCAAAAGAATTGAATCTCAAATTAATTTTCATTACTTGCTAAAACATTAACACTTTATCAATATTTTCTCGATGTTACTACTGCATGTTCAATGCTAAGAATCATTGATACTTGTCAATCATTGAAATTGCAGCCACCTTGCTTCATCAACCTGAAGTTTGAAATTATCTAAAAGTTGAAGTCATATGTTGACAATATAATAAGGTTGTGTGTGTGTGTTTTAACAGTACATATTCAATATATTCCGTTCTCACAGGGTACCCTGCTGTATCCAGGTTAGTCTCTCTCTCCCCTGACTCCCCATTCTACACCCTCTTCTTTCTGTGGGGAGCCCTGCCGGCTCCCTGAAGCTATCTGAACTGATATAGTGCTTTATTAGTTTCGGGTCATCAGTCACAGGTTAACCCTTAAACTGCACATGGCTTATATATACGACAGGACCCGATGATACTATAAGTTAAATTTTTCAAACTTGTTCTAACGCTTTCCAATTTTTTGTGCATAATCTACTAGACAAACACTCCAACTGTGTCTAAATGATCACCAATGTAACTTTAAAAACAAGAAAATTAAAAATAATTAAAAAATTAAATATTGAAAATTTCAGATTTTTAGATCAGCTGCAAAAATATTAAATATAACTAGTTGTTCATTAAGTGTTGTTATGCTCTCAGAATAGTATATGATCTTCATTTTAATACATTTAGAATATAGATTTTCAGTTTAGTTCACTGTAAAAAAATTGTTAATATGGCATTTGAAATATGCACCAAATTCATACAACAAAATGTATAACTCAAAACGTTTAGAGTTTATAAAAAATTCATTCTAATAGGATTGTAGAACAGACAGCGGCACACACGATATATAAAAATGGTGAGAATTGGTCCAAAACTGGATTTTTCTGGGGGGGAGCCCCGTCGGCTCCCCGGAGCTATCCAGGCTGAATGGATATGTATAACTTTCTGGCATCAGTCAAAGTGCTAGGAGTTGCCTACCGGGGACCACGAGCCAGAACCTGGCCCCCTCAGAGAGGCACGAGGAGCAATGGCCTATGGAAACCTCCATGTTGTTGGGAGCATTCTATGTCTGCCATCAACCAGGATAGGCACCCAGAAAGGTAGGCTCCCTAAAACAAACCCCTATTCTGGTGAAAATATTGCTACCATAAGCTGGACGAGTGGACAGAACTCGCCAAACAAAATTATCAAACTAGCATGACGTCATCACATTGCTGTACCACCGTCTGCGCAACCCCCTCCCCCCCTCCCCAGGAGGAGGAAAGGGGAGCCCCAGACCTCCACGCCGGCGATCCAACTGGCAGTTCTTGGCTGATGGAATTACTGGCCGGTCGAGGGCCTCTGGCTCCAGCTTTTGTTTCAGTTCTGTGCCTTGTGGTGTGGACTGTCTCTACCGGTGGGGTGTGTGCCAGGAGTGAGCTTCCACAGTACTCGGGCTGCATGCGCCTAGGGTTCTCTTCCCTAGGTGCCCTGTAAGTACTGCCCTTGGGGCCACCTTCCACAAGTCACCTTGGGTGCTACCTCTGCTCGGTACTGGGCCGCCCTTGGAATTGGCTGGGGTTTTGTTGGCCTGGTTTGTCTCTGGGTAGGTGGTAGTTTTCGTCACTGGTAGGGTGCGGGATACCACACAGCTAGTTTTCACCAATAACAGCGGCCAGCTCTGTTCCGTGTGGGTACGTTGTCTTCTTACGGGGTTTTCTTTTGTTTTTGCCTAATGGGGGGGGTCTGCCTTTATGCTCCCCCTTTACTGTTCTAGGTGTTTTTATTTCTATATTTTCTGTTGGTGGTACTCCCCGCTTCGCCCCCATGAGTGGACATGTCCACGGGGGTTCAGCTTTTAGAAGTTTGTTTGGTAGACTTGGGCGCCAGTTCGCAGTATCCTGCCTGGGCTTCCCTTAGCGTGTACCCAAGGCTAAGGGCCCTGCAAAACCCCATGGGGGCTCCGTGGTCCTATGGGTGTGTCCCCAGAGTCCCCCCTTGTGTCCTGCGAGTTTGACGGTTGCTCTGTCCCCTTGTCTCAGGGTGACACTCACCGGTTGTGCCTCCGCCATGCTGCCTGTTGGGTCATTGTTTCTTATGACCCGGAGTTGTGTGACGGGTGTTGTTGGTATGTGCTCTCGTTCACCCAGGCCACTGGTCATGATAATCAGGTGCAGGCGGCTGCTGCGTTGCTTGCTGGGTGTAGTTTGCTGCAACGCTCTTGGATGTTTGCAGCCCCGAATGCCCCGAGGCTGCCCCGTTTTGGTTGTCTGGATCCGGACTTAGGGGTGGGGGTCGCTTTGGCTCTGGCTCCTTCTGCTCATCGTCCTTCCCCTCCTGTTCTGCACACTTGCTTCCGGCTCTGAACCGTAGGCGGGTTTCAAGGTTGGTGCGGGGTCTAGTTGGGTTGAGACTCGGGCGGTCTCGGGGGATTTCCTCTTCCGGGGTGGCGGCAGAGGCTTTCGAGTCGGTTCCTCCAGCCGTGCCGTATGGGTCTGACCAGTGGGCTCCCTTCCTTAGTGTTTGTACGGCTGCCACGGCTCTTCCTTGTCAAGCTGGGACTTTGGGGGTGCGGCTCGCCCCCGGGTCGTGCCATAGAGGTTCCCGGGGTTGGGGAGGGGTTGCCTGGGGGGCCTCGGCCCCGTTTGCCCCTCTTGGGTCTTTGTACCCTTGGTGAGAGGCTAGCAGTTCCTCAGAGTGGGGTTGTTCCTTTCCCCTCTGTTTTCCTGTTGGTTTCAGGTATACCCCTCCCTGGGTCCGGTTCCGTGTCCCTTCGGGTTCTTTAGTCCCATCGTTCCTGGGGGGGTGTTTCGCCCCCTTTTCCTTACCCTTTTCGCGCTTACGTTGTAATACTGTTCCCTTCATATCGGGGTCCCTGCGTGTCCTTTGATCAGGGATTTATTTTTGTCCATATGTCCCTCCATGCATCTGTGCTTGCTTGTCGTGGTTCTCGTTGGTTCGCACGTCACTTCATACCTTCCAATATTATTGGAACATCTGTTGACTTCCGATGTGGTTTCCCTCTAGTCTTTGGTCGGCATCGTTGGTTACCTTCCGTTCTCTATCTTCTTTCGCTTCGGTTTTGCCTGGTTTTGTTTTCGAGTCATCTCTACTTCCAGTTTCGACATTCCTCATCTTCGTTACATATCCCTTCCTAGTGTTTGTACGATGTGTGTATATGATGTGTCTGTATGTTATGTGTATGTACGATATGTGTCTGCCTGGTATACGAGCCACACCACCTGGTGGACGGGTGGTGCGTTTCGTACCTCGCTCACTGGGGCCAGGGTGTGGGTTTTGTTTATGGACGGTATGTTCGTGTGTTCCGCATTGTTTCTCGCGGTTTTCTACGTCTTCTTGCTCGTTTTCTCCCTCCAGTCGTGGCCCTCTGGATGCTGGGGGGTGTTCTGGATTTTATATGTGGGGGCATCACTTCGTTCTTTCCTCTGCTTCCAGGTGTGGGATGGCTCGGAGTGGCGCTTCCTCCTCCCACTCTGTACTGCTCCTCTTCTTCTGCGGGGTGCGCGCCTCTGGATGTATTTCTCCTTAGCCCTTAAACCGCGCAAATCATATATATATGCTTTCAGTGACAAAACCGAAACCGCGCATGTCATATATATATGATTTCGTGTCTAGCGCTATAATTTAAACGCCCAGCCTGGGATAAGGGCAGCTATAATGCAGCCACGACCGATAGTTGCCAGATGCCACCTAGAAAAAAATCCAGGCCACATTCTTGGGTGTGAGAGCTTCAGTATTGAGGGAGCCACCAAGGCTGACGCACGCAGCACGAGCTCACAGCACTGCTATTCAGCTTGTGACCACAGCATCGCCTACAAATTCCATAATATATATGTTCATGCTATTATTTAGCGATGATAGTATTATAGAAGACCCCTGACTGTGATAAAACAGACCGGGATTCTGATAATAGCAGGATTGTGGTGATATTTAGTGCTGTGCGCCATGGAGGGAGGAGTAATGCTGTGGGAGGGAGGGTTGTGGCGTTGTCTTCTGACTGTGTGTGGCCACCTTTTATTGACTGCACTCACCATACCAGTTTAGTGGTTCACTATGGTGAACACAAATGTAGATACTTACATATAATGCGTGTATAGAGTGTAATAACAGCAATAGGAATAGGTTGGGAGCCACCATTTTGGTGAGGGAAGTGCGTCGTCTGCACGGCTTATCATGTTGTTTACTGGTGACCACTTTGGTCTTTGGGCACCATACCAGCTTATTTGTACAGGTATGGTGAATAAAACAGTTAGATACTTTATATAACATGTGTATATAGTGTAATAACACCACAAACAGTATTATTGGAGGAGAAATATTAGTGCGTCTGGCCTTGATGGTGGCCGCCACCAGCTGACTGTGTGAGTAATTACCTAAGTGTAATTACCTAAGTGTAGTTACAGGATGAGAGCTACGCTCGTGGTGTCCCGTCTTCCCAGCACTCTTTGTCATATAACGCTTTGAAACTACTGATGGTCTTGGCCTCCACCACCTTCTCACTTAACTTGTTCCAACCGTCTACCACTCTATTTGCGAAGGTGAATTTTCTTATATTTCTTCGGCATCTGTGTTTAGCTAGTTTAAATCTATGACCTCTTGTTCTTGAAGTGCCAGGTCTCAGGAAATCTTCCCTGTCGATTTTATCAATTCCTGTTACTATTTTGTATGTAGTGATCATATCACCTCTTTTTCTTCTGTCTTCTAGTTTTGGCATGTTTAATGCTTCTAACCTCTCCTCGTAGCTCTTACCCTTCAGTTCTGGGAACCACTTAGTAGCATGTCTTTGCACCTTTTCCAGTTTGTTGA